TATATATAATATTTTATATATATATATATATATATATATATATATATATATATATATATATATATATATATATATATGTATATGTAAGAAGCGTATATTTGGAGGACGTTTATAGCAGGAAGGGTTTATCACATCGGAGTGCTGTTGCGGACGAGAAAAAACGGGAGAAGCTGTTTGCGCAGGAGAACGAAAGATCCTCAGATTCCCTTATTTTGTAATAAAAAGAAACGCCTGTCGGATGTTCTCCCCGGGAGACGGATTAATTAACCCGACGCGGCACGTTTCGGACAGGCAATTTGTTCATTCGCTGATCCAAAACTGAGCCTGAACAGCTACAGCGCGCCGAATCGTTTCTTAGGTATATAAATCTCTGTGTACACGTGTCAGAAATCGCCGTGAGGCTGCAGGCGAAGCGGACTTTTTAAATTGGGGGCGACGACCCCCCCCCCCCCCAATAACGAGCGCGACGATGCGTAGCATCGAATCGGTGCTGCTCCGAGCGATAGGAACAAAAGGTTAAGTCTATTGTTAATCGAGACGTTCTGTTTTTATTTAACATAAATCAATGATAATGCCAATAAATGTATTTACAGCACCTTAACCGATTTCCACAGGTCCGACGTTTGCTCTCGTCCTGGTTTCATTTTCTCCCGAAACTCTCCGACGTCTCCGAATTTTGCCACCTCCCTAATCCATAATGTTCAACGTCGTCGCAAATGGCAAGTATAATCGCAAAACTTATTCGATTCTTATTAAAACAAAAAAAAAACAAAAAAAAACGACGAGTAACTTATCGAATTTCGTACATCTAATTGCTTAAGTTAACGTACAACATTATATCGTAAACTGTTACATGCCATTACAAGCTACTGACTATCGCTTTACACATTCGACCTCATTTTTGTCGCGTTCCCTTCGTCTTTACTCGCAATAAGATCGTTATCCATCCTTCTTTCTTTTTTTTTATTAGGCAATAAAGCAACGCGTGGATGTAGCAGCACGTTCCTTCGAGTCATAATTGCTTTGAAAATGATTAGGCTAAACGTATACAGTTCCTTTAATGATCTCTTGGCAGCCACTTACACAATTACAAGCCCGCAAGATACATCGTGCGAATGACAGACATTCTAGGCAACAAATAAATAACGGTACCGACGATAATATTGTCAACGATATTTATAAAGAACGTATCCTCTTTAAACATAAATATAGACTATTATCTCGCAACATTTCAGCCTTAGTCGCGTAACCGTGTCGCATGTGGTCCACATGTGACCGGTACAAAGTTAAGAAAGAAATACGTATAGAATACCCAAATACCATTGTCCCGGGATAATTGTAACAAGGATGTCGTGAGCGCAACGTTTGATTATCTTTGACTAAATTTCTTTCTCTCTCTCTCTCTCTCTCTCTCTCTCTCTCTCTCTCTCTCTCTCTCTCTTTCTCCTTCTCTTTCGTCGCGAGTGTTTGAGCGTAAATTTCACCATGACGAAGCACAAATCCATATCGTTTGATCGTTCTGACCGGGCAGACGCGACGCACGTAGCTGGAGAGTATCCTATTTATTTCGTTACGAACTCTGTACTCTATCTGGTACGTGCCTGTGTACAGAATCGTGCTTGCGACATTCTGTAGCCTCTAGAATACCTGGAATGGAGCGGCCGCGAGGACCGGTCTCCGCTTGAACCCAACGAAATACAGTTTTAAAAGTCGAACGCGATCCTCGACGATCCAAAAACAAGCGCGAAACAGGAACCCGGATCGCCAAAGTTCCTTCCTACGGTACTACTAATCGGAATCTGGCAACCATCATTGAGCAACTCGAAGTTTGGCTTTCCCGTTCCGTCTCTACCTTCTGCACGAACGAGCGAGAGCCTTCTGCCTCGAGGTTCACCGTTCGCGCTCGCTTCGACGAGCAATCGTGTGCTACACGAAAGCCATCGCGGACAAGTCCCGCGGACGAGACTTGCCGGATTAGAAGATAAGCGTGACCGATCGACGACGCGTCTCTTTCGGACCGATCGCCGGAAACTATGAGTAGAAACACGTCCTCATCGACTTCTTCGGCGCGTTCTGCTCGCCGGTGTAATAGCTCGCGACCTTCCTGGCCTTGCCGGAGAACGGTCTCAGCCGTAGACAGAGGTAGGTGGAGAGTATGCACGAGGACAACAGCACGGCGAGGAGGACTATGAGGGTGATGGCGAAGCCGGGTGTGGTCATGCAGATCATCGCCGAGGTCGCGGTGTTCTCGTTGCGAACGGGGAACACCATGGTGGGCCCGTTCGACTCCGCGTTGTTGGACTCGTCGATGGAGAACGTTAGATCGCCGGTCGACACCACGCGGATTATTCGATTCACGCCGACCGCCTTCTGAGGCGTCGGCACTATTTCTCGGGACTTCCTCCGCCTTTCGTCCCGCGGCCGTCCGGCCGCAGCCTGCAGGTACGCTTCCAACGGAAGCGGAATGGGTGGCGGAATGCCGTAGCTGGAATCGGGATGGCCGTTCGAATGATGATGATTTTCGAGGAGCCCTTGGGACTCCAGCAGCAGAGGTGACTCGGAGCACTGTTCGGGACACTGGTACCGGCAGATCTGTATGGTGCACTGGAAGTGCACCTCCATCGAGTCGGGGAACTTGAACGCCTGGAAGTGGGCGTAGGAGAGGACCGACGCGGACGCGCCGAAGTTCTTGATCTTGGTGAACCGCGACATCAGCTTGGGCCGCGTGATGCAGCCCCTCTGGTCCACCAGCTGTATCGGGGCCCGTTTCCCATCGTGGGCCATGCAGTTCCTCACGAGCATGTCGAACTTGGAGTCGTCGTCCTTGATCGCCAGCACCATCGTCATCGTCTGGCCGATCTTGACCAGCCCGGAGACCTCCGACGCCCACGGCCCCTTGCCGACCTGGATCTGCATCCAGCAGCCGACGTTGTCGCCGGCGAAGTCGGCCCGCACCACGTCCAACATGTCGACCGGGAACGGACGGAAGGTAACGGACTTCTCGTAGAGATCGTGCCAAGTGCAGCGCAGCTTGCGCGCCTGGTCCCAAACTTCTTGAACTTGCGGATCGTATTGCACCACGATTATGTTCTCGAAGTACGTCCCCGACCCGGATTCGGCGCCGTATCCGTAGAGACCGTTCTCCGTATTGCCAGCTGTGCCGCATGCATGAATGCTAATCTCGAAGTTCACCGAGGTGCGCCCTAAACCGGCCGGCAGGTGCACGCAGTTTACGTTGCTGTAGTGGCCCTTGCTGAACACTATGCCGTAGAACGGCTTGTCGAAGCCGAGGTAGACCTTCATCAGGTTTTTCTCGCACTTCACGTCCAGCGAGATGATCTTCGGCATGTCTGGCGTGGGTGCCGGCCAAGGCTCCACGCCTACCGCCGAGCTGATGCCGCCTCCCGTCGTGTAGATCTTGTCGATGGCCTCCGACGGGGTCTTCGAGGGCGGCAACGGCGGCGGAGGGCCATGGTACGCGACATTATGGTGCGGCCGTGGATGAGGTAGCCCCAGACTTCCTCGGCTCGGCGGCATTGGAAGCGGATGTCCTCTGAGACCACCCGGCTTATAGTGATTGCCGCCGGCATCTTTCTCCCCGAGGGACTCCAACGCTAATTGGTCGGGCGTGTTAATGTCGTTGTCCTGCCGATTCAAAGCCGAGTTGTCGTTCCGATTGTCCTCGCCGGGGATCGCCTCCACCACCTCCACATCCTCCGTTCGAGCCAGCTGCGAGAACAGAAAGAGGATCTTTGTTACGGGGATGCTGCGTTGCCGCGCGAAACGCTCGGCGAAATACTTTGTAGAACGTCGTGCCACGGAGAAAGGGATAAACGGCGAGAAAGTGTGAAAGTAGATTGATGTTGTCAGGCTGCATAATTTGCAGAGGCGCGAGTTCTTTGCTTCGGATGGGCCGCCTTTATCCGAGACGAGCCCGCAACCGCAATCATCGGACGCCGGTACATACCGCACTCCCCTAAATTATCATGTAAAGATCCGTGAATTCACTCCGTACGATCGCAACGAAAAAATTACCATAAACTCGACGTGTTAACGACAGGACGTGTCACACACAGACAGTATGAAGTCCTCGCGTTAAAACGATCGGGGCTTGCATTCTGAGAACGTGCTTCACGAACGATCGCTATTGTAACACGGAGAGATTTCGTCGCATGTACCGTTACGCATCGAATCGGAGAATTCTATCGTAGTTATTCTCATCGGGTCTATCGAATATTAATTTGTCAACGGATTAATTCCGTTTTGAAAGTACCGAGGTATATCGCGCGATGCAAATGTTCGGTCTTTGCGTGCTTTTCACCGGATCGACGGAAATCTCGCGGGATCTTTTGAGCGCATAATAAGCGCATAAAGATCGCGTTATACGTTCGTTGTTAAGCATACAAGAAAATAAGATATTTTTTTTTACGGGCGCGTGTAATACGCGGCCCGATCCGAGCGGGACCGAAACGAGGCGGAATTCCGCGATTTTACGGTGCTGTAATCAAATTTCGCGCGGGCCCTGTACCCCCGTCGAGTATAAATAATCGATTTTTTTCGGATGGCCGATGTGGGAAGATCACCGGGCGTGCTGGAACCGGCGTGCTTGGAGCCGGCGATAGAGGAGGCTCTCGGCCGCCGCAAAAAGAAATGCAATTTTTCATGTGCGGCCTCTCGGCGCGGACCGAAGATCCGCTCGGAGCGCTATCTCCAACCGTACGCATTCCTGATGGCCAATATGGGAGACAACAGTGTCCGACCAACAAACCCGTTCTGACTGTTCGACGAATGACGGGTTCGGAGAGCCGGCACGAGAAGGGGCGACCAAACGACGGAATAGGAGCATCGGGGCCTGTTCGCCAGCCTAGTGGCTGATTGCGTCACGCGTGACCCTGGGGCATAACGGACCACCCGTGTCTTTAGCCGCAGGTCAATCGGTCAGCTCGGGCGCTTCAGATACACGCGGCGTTCGGTTTTCCGTCTCTACCCTCTCCGGCCGGCTTATCTTGCGCCGCGGCTTTCCAGCCTACGCGTTCCATAATTCGACGAAAGCTTACTGGGTCACCTGTGAACGAACTCATGATGGATTTCGATGACGGCGCGGCGGCACCGGGCTGCGCGGCCGACTGTAAAAGACGATGACCGTCCTTCGAGAGAAACCGCAGCGACGCGACCAGACGAGACGCGTCGGTTTGCATATTACATGTCTCGTTCTCGTTTCCAGTCGAGAGAAAAAGAGAGAGAGAGAGAGAGAGAGAGAACGAGAGAGAGAGAGAGAGAGAGAGAGAGATGCACGGAATCAAACCGCTGCTGCCAGACGATTTCCGTCGGGAAACGTAATCACTTAATCGTCCCGGGCAACGATAATAATGTTGTCTCCGCACCCGTAACAGTAATGACGTAATTAATTTTCCGTTACGACGCGTCCGGAGATTAATATCGCGTTGAAGGCAGCATTCGACAAAAAGGGAAAATTATAGTAACGCTAGAAGAGTAATAATTATCCTCCGCGCTCCGAGCAGTCTCTCGTATCTCGCGGAGCTTCTATCATCTTAGAAGGTATTTCATTCATCTCCTATCTCCTCCATTCACCTGTTCGAGTATCCGCAAGAACTATCACGCCTCGTGTCCGTCCCGTCTGCCAGTCTTTTACGAATTACCGTAAAAGAATCTTTGCCGCGATTAAACGAATCGTGCGTCGGAATGATTAATATTCGAAGATCCGACGCGAGTTATGTCGAAACTTTGTACCTGCGATTCGGAAATGCCGGCTGCAGAAGGTTGTAAATTACGATGAAGTTTTCGCGAAATGTTACACTGTTACTGACCGTGATAGAATGATAACCGTGACTGATTCGATTCGATGTGTTCAGCTATAGTTTCGTTATTAGTTACGCGGAAGAAGAGCGAATTGATTTTGGACATAAAAATCGAGAGCGTACGTTTCTTCGCTTCAGACTTACAAACTATACGCGATAAACTTGTTTGAGAAATATTCTTCCTCTTTGGGAAACGATGACGTATATCGTTTTATTGGACATTCAACGTGCACTCTTTTGCCTGATTGCCAATGAATCGTCCGAACGAAATTCAATAAATTGCATTTTAATAGAACGAGACTGCATGTCGAGCGCGGTAAAAACAAAATGAAACGCGATAAAAGAACGAGAGTACGATTAAAATCGGGAACAACTGAAATACTATAATTCGATGACTCGCGTCGACGCGTCGCGAAGCTGTCGCGCGAACGACGTGATTTTAACATTATGATAATAATTAAATGCGTCAGCTGAAAACAGACCGGATCAGCCTCGATCGTAAAACGCGTCTGTAGAAAGACAATTTCTCCGAAATGAAAATTTTCGAAGAGCGCTGTTCGAAGAACCTATCATAGCCTATCTCGAAAAATATTGGAGCTCCCTGGAACGCTGCGAGGCTGCGCGTGAATACGAAGTGAAGGCAAACGAAGTCGATCTAAGAATCGGCGTCGCTGACACAAATATTTGAAGTGCCTCTCGGTGGTCCCGAAGAATGAACGTCGTCGTTGAAAAAGGAAACGGGGAGGGGAAAAAAGGTAGAGAACGAATTAAAGTCGTGCGTCGGTCCCCAAGAATCCAGGATGGGAAGGCAGGATCAGGGAACCGGTAGTTTAATGTGCAATTTTTGCGCGCAATCTTGTAAGACCGATTCGTGGTGAAGGCCCTGACGGTAAAACGTTACTTCGTAGTAGACGTGGATGAGCCGGATCGAAACGCCGCGCACCATTTCAAGACATCGACCGGGCCTCGAGTCGCCCTTAGCTCTGGGTCAGAGCACTGGGTAACGGCATTGCAGGCTATGTACCCACCGCGAATCTGGGTTATAATGTAGTAATTACCCACGCAGACATACCGACCTACCCCCCTTGAAACGTCGCCGCGTGTTCTTCTTTACTTCCCGGCGGTTTTTGACCGTCCATTCAACAGCTCGCGCACGACTCGTTGCTTTAACACGCAAACGAACGGCTCCTCCGCGGTGAATTTTAACGAGACGTAATGCGGCGCGCTTGTAACCTTTTCTACCTTATCACTAGGCCGCCGACTTTCATGGAGATTTGCATTTTTATAGAACAATTTCGGGATACCGGGCCAATCGAATTAAGCCGAAGCTACCATTAAAAGGTATCGGACTTCATAAAACGGTTCAAGTTTTCTTGAATTTGCGAGCGAGTTTCTCTCCCTAATTAATCGTTCGATAATTATACATCGATTACGAAGATGTAGAAACGACTCGGAGCAATGACCTACTTGGGTTTACAACGCGAGAATGAAGTTCTCGGTGTCATTGAATCTTCCGTGGCTCGGTTTCCGTGTCATTTTTGAGATTGCTTGAATTACTTACCCCCTTCAATAGGAGACAGGCTAAGATGAAGATTCGCCACCGCATACCGTATTAGCGTCCACGGTGGAGCACTGTAAATGTGCGACTGAAAAAGAACACGATTTGTTTTCGTACACGCGTGCATACATCGATTCAATGTAACACATCGGGATGGCCGAAAAGTCTTGTAGCTTCTTTTAAGATTTCCGATTTCGGTTGAAAATGCGCGTACGATTTTGAAACGTCGCGTCATCGATTTTTGAAAAGTAGAAAAACGACGAGGCTTTGCGGCCAACTCGGTGTTAAGATGCGAATAAAAGTAAACGTACCTATGACAATAATCTCGCGTGTTCGAATCCTTTCGATGAGGCGATGTGTATTTCGGCGATCAAAGTGGACACGTGACGGTATAATTATCCGGTACGTTCCTCGGGAAAGAGATCGACGATCGAGATCTGCAATTTAAGCACAAAAACAAACATTCGCTTTGTAAATCGTTGAGAGGACGACGATTATTATTTATTTTGTGACCACTTTTATTACGAAAAGCAATCACGATAATCTTAATTATTAAACGTTACCTGCAATCATTAAGGTAAAAGCACCAATAATTGACCATTTAACAATAAATGCTTGCTCCTTCATTAAATAGAGAGTTCGAACTTCTTACATTATGTAAAAAAGATCATTTTCTTCGAGGTAGTCTTATTACTCAAATTTTATAGACATTTTTGAAAATTCGATAATCGCGTCAGAAGTCGACCATGCTCGAAAACGAGAGAATTAGTAATTGCGTTAATTAGAGGTTGGTCATTTATAATAAAATCAATAATGCTTAAATGTTCGATATCGTTTATTTGCAATGATTACGACGTGTAATAAGTGCAAGAACAAATACAAATGAAAAGAAGTTAAATCCATGTAAATTCTAATTCAGAAACAGTGTAGACAGTGTTTCGTATTTAGTAATCCGTTCAGAGTACATAACTCCTAAAGGAGTCCTTGATAGCAATTATTAGCTCAATAATTTAGTAATCTGTCGAATAAATGCCTAAGCAAATACATATTAATATTTTGTTGATTTTAATAATATTACGTAGCCATTTAATAAAATCATGTGATCGTGTAGCAAAATGCATTACAGTTCGAAATTGAGAGTTCTGGTCTCTACCTCCAACGAAATTATGCATAAAATGAATATGCCGTAAACGGTAAATAAGTTGAAATAATTTACGTCAGTAATTGACCACAAATTGCATTCATTAAATTTAAAGTTATCATTTAATGAAAGATTGTCGTGAAAAGTTACGGGCTTAGGAATTTTTTAACATTTCTTCAAACATGCAATCAAGATCGATGGTCGTTAATACGATAAATTATTTAATTTATCGTTATTACGATAAACAATTGATTTTGTAAGTATTTTTATTCCTAAATACTTTCCGCGTATTCCTGAAAAATGGTCAACTACTGAGACGAGGTCAATTACCGGTGCCGTTACTCTAATTGGTAAGGCGAGATCATTAATCTGTAAAAATGTATAAATTATTTACCTTTTATTTAAATGATTATTGTATACCACAACATGAAACTTTTGTTATAATCACAATGAAAAATAATGCTATCGATGGTAACAACAACGAACGATTACATTTCCTTCGATAATATCAGTTATACATTAATCATGATCGCGGGATCACTTAGCAATCGTAATCATTAATCGCGAACCGTTGATCCGATTAATCTCTTCCACCGAAATCGGTTACTTTTGCAATAATCTCGAAGGAACAAGCGCGACCGGAACGTGACAATAAGTTATTAGTAGGAAACGTCGAACACCGAACGAACGAACGAACGAACCAGTCCATCAGTGAACGCCAGACTCGTGTTTAATCGTCAATTATCAGACACGCTCGCCTCGTGCGACCACTAGGCCACCTGTCCCAAATTCCTGCCGAATGTCCGGGTTTTCGCTCCGTTACCTCGTTGTACTCATGACACCCGACTGCCACGATCGACATCTATAGGTATGAACTGAATTCGCCGGGCCGATATCGTGTCCCGAAAAATCGCAAATATTTTTCGCGTTCGTCGCCGTCGATCGTCCTTCGTCGTCGCCGCCGTCGTCGTCGTCGTCGTCGACGACGTCGTTGTCCTCGTCGTCGCACACGAAACCAGAACGAGGTTTCGCTATCGAGACGAACACGAGACACTTTCGAGCTTCCCGTAAAAAGAATCGACGGTGCCTCGATTAATGCATTCCGATACGAATGCGATCCGGACACGCGCGGTGCTATTTACCCGTTTAAAGTGAGGAACGACGGAGACGCGACGAGGTAATGCGATTCATCGGAATTATGCAGGTTCAAGGTGCACGCCGGTGCCACGAATGTAGGCAAGTAGGTTCCCGTCTATCGGGTCTCGGCGTTCTTACCGAATCCACTTACACGGATCCGAGGCCGGGATCGTCCCTGCCAATAGATTTTCGTTCGATTCCGGATCGGACAACAGGCCGATACGTGCGACAAATCACCGATTTGGGATTTGAGTGGCTGTTTGTCTGGCGTTTCGATGCCGGCGCGCTGGGAATTTCTAAAAGGCCACGAACAAGCCATTCGGCGTCCCTATTGACGCCCGCGGGCGCCTGCTTTTGCGATCGATTATCGAAGCCGCCGCTCTATTTCATTGGCCGGCACCCGCACACGCGAAATCTCGGCCTATTATGAGAACGAAAATAATTACGGTGCCGCGCGCGATAAGCCGCGCGTTGCCATCCACGGTGTCTACGAATAAACACGAAAGTTCACGCGTCCCCCCCGCTGTAATTAATGCATTCGGTCGAGACCGCGAGCGTGAGTATCGAGTGGAAGGTAATTACGATCCGCCAGTGATCTATACCGAATTCCGTTAGCGCGGCGAACCTACGGGCGCTTGTTTATTACCGGCATACATTAGTTATTATTCCGCTTTGCGATCCGTGCCAGGATAGACTGCGACACCTGTTCTTTCTTTCGCTACGGGGCCGCGGTTGAATAAAAATCACTGCCGGCTGTTTACACGTCCGTTGTTCCATGCTAACCATGAATCGGGCACGCCGAAGATGTGGCGTGGTGCCAAATACATATAACGGTTCTACCGGTGTGGTAATTCCAAAGTCAGGCATTCGCATAATGAGCACCTACCTAATAGTAACCCATATAGGAGCGAGTCGAAATCTCGCCTCGTCCCCCTTTTTTTTTTCTTTCGAACCGCGAATTTTGCGACATTCCATTTCTGTTTTCTTTCTTCTTTTTTTTTTGTTTCGGAGCTAAACGATATTTTACCGTCGCAAACTGCGGTGGTAAATTACGAAAAAAAAAGAAAAACGATACACGAGGAGGATGAAAAATATTTCGTGCCGAATTAACGCTAAATCGCTCCGAAAGTGACTAATATGACGTTGCTCTATTAAAATGACAAGACTGGGTTTATTTGGATTGCTATTTTATTATAATGTAAGCTTGAACGAAGGAATCTAATCGATCGTTTCTCAAGAAAGGGTCTTCATAGTTTCAACAATTCGATGACAAAAAAATATGTCGTCGGTCACAGTTCGATGTTCTACGATCCTGTTCGAGAAACACGGTTCTCCTTTTTTAATCGACTGCGTCCAGTAAAAAAAGAAAATCGATTCGATTACACGATCGAACCGAACGCGAATTGAAACAGCGAGGAGTTTCGCGTCGTTAATCGCGGCATCGGCAAGAATGGGGACACGGGAACATTCATTGCGAATCGTGTCGCCTACAAATCTGCTAATAATCTCGTCGCGGAATTAACCCGAAATCGATCCCCGCAGAGCGGGATAAATACGTTAGCAATCACTAATGGTACGTCGAACGTAGCTGTATGGGGTATACATATGATACGAGCATAATTCACGTTGCTCTATGCTCGACGTAACGACCGCACGGTAATCGAGCGTAACGAAACAAATTGACAACTTGATGACAACTCGATGCACTTTCGATGTAAAGGTGTCGTATTGCTGATCGATCGCGCGAGATACCGGCCTCTGAGCTCGCTGAAAATCGTCTACCGTTAATACCCAGCGCCGCCGATTTACTATCCTCCTTTCCTATCCATTCGTTTCCACGTCTGTCGTCATCCGCGATTTGCATACCAGCTTTCAGACAATAATTATCCCCATTACACCGTGTGTACAACGACACAGAAAACTACGGTTCCGTCGTGTACTCGCGAATGAATTCCCATTAAGTGTCATTATTTCCGTCGTTCTATCGGAAGCAGGAGAAATTTCGTTCGAACGTGCGCGCGGCAGGAGAAATCGCGCGTGCGGGCGGTCATTCGAAATGGATTACGCGACAGTAGGACCAATGCGATGACAGAACAGCTGCGAAACGCAGAACATGTGTGCTCCGAGGATTTCTGAGCTGACGCCGCGAGATTAGCCCCAACCGGCGCGAGCAGCCGCCAACTGTTGCGGCGATGTACATTCGATAGAATGAAAGCGGTCACCACGTGGTCGGCTATAATGCGGCGTACATGTATCCCACGGCGCGTCATATAATTTCTCCGATCGGGAACTGCAGCTTCTGTCATCAGGAACGCATTAGAGGCACGACCGACGACGAGGACGACGACGAGGACGACGACGACTCCGCTGTAAATAATGTTTTTAATCAGTGGATCAACGACAGTCGAATCACACCGATAAATCCCGCTGCAATTACAATAGCAGAATCCTGAGGCAAGTACATTCGGAGGAAGATCGACGAACACGAATCGGTCCCGATCGAAGCGCGACGCGACCGCGACGCGACTCGACGCCGCGCGAGATTGAAAAACGATCGCATCGCGTGCCGTCGAGCGTGAATAATGAACATTGGAGAAAAGTCAAGAGAAAAGCGTCTTACGTTTTACCACCCAGGGGACGGTCGTCGGGGTCGCGGGCGAACCTTCTTCCCGGCGAATCTCCCTTATCAAAGCGGCACGAGGAGCAGGCGAGAAACGGAGTGGAGCGACGCACCGCGCACTGATCGACGCACCATGTGCCGAGAAATCTCCGCGTGGCCGCGCGGTCGGAGGCACTCTAAAGCACAGTCGGTTGATCTCAACAGATTTCAGCCGCGAAAACGGGGACAAAATCGGCGAACGTGCGAGAAGGTAGAATATCCCGTGAGGTTCGCAAGCCGCTCCGCCGCGGCCGACGACTCCGTGTCTGGTCTTCCTGCGTGCTCGTGTCGCGTTAACCGTCGTCGGTGGTTTCCCGCGCGACTGATCTACACGGATTTGCCGGGATGAGTCGCGATATATCTGTCGCGTCAGCTAGAAAGACGCGTTGCGGCGTGGCTGCGGCCCGATGGTGCACGCGAGAACTCAACGAGTCGGAATGGGGTACACCTGTCCGATATAGAGAGTATACTATAAACGTGGCGGCCCGCCCCCTGACCCAGACACATGGTACAGTTATATAGGTCCCTCAACAGACCGGAGGATATCTCTTGTCGTTCGGGCCACACTCTTGACGACCACGACCATGACTCGTGGACGTGGTCGCGGTCGTGCTCCTATTCGTCGTTCTTGTCCTTCTCGATGCCCCTGTTGCTGTCTGCCTGCCTGCATGCACGCGACTTGTTAGACATACGACGCCGTCGCGTCGTTAGCACGCGTGCACCTCCGTGTTGCACCTCCGTGCACCTGCCGCCATATAGCGATAGCCATTTCGATACCTCGAATTTTTCGCCGAGCAGAGAGGCTTAATACCATTCACGACTATCTCGAGAATGAAACTGGCTTTTAAATCCTGTTCCGTCGACGAGGCTGTGGCTCCTGTCGCACGGCGATACCTTTCCCTCAGAAAATTGTACGCGTTTCAGAGCATCGAAAGCCGTTTCAAATTTTCAAACGTCGTCCACCTGTTACCGAGAGATACGAACCGTCCAAGTTCACCAATTCCTGTGCTTTGCATAAGCTTCGGCAAGCTAAAGTTTGTCCTGAAAGAAACCACTTGTAGGACGTTGAAATACGTGTTGTACAGACGAACTTTGTGAACATAAGCAGCGACGCGAAATATGTTTGAATTCAGTTTTGTAGTATGCCCCAAATCATTGTTATATTATAATATAACGGTGGAGAAAAAATTGGGACAGTCATCGTGAGAACCGTTCTAAGAAGATTCATGTTGTAAAATAAGATATCAATTATAACATGCGATCGAAAAATGTTGCCTACTTTTAAGATACTCAAGTTTAAAGTGTCAAGCAGTGTCCATCGACGTGTCGTCCCTTTTTAAAAGCGACTTCGTTGGCTACGAGTTATAGGCCCTTCATATCTGTTGTGCGCACAGGGCACAGTGGAGTAAGAAACAATTTTGTTAATTATTGCGAGACTTGAAAAGTTTTCTGTCTTCCAAGTGAACTTCCTCGATATTGATTATAGTTAGATATCAAAGAATAAAGTAGGGAACAATTTTGTTCACGAAATTGCACAAATTGTTTCATCGTAATCTTTAATCATTTAAAGACTATTCAAGGTCTGCTGAAAACGTATAAAATGATTTATAGCAAACCCTTCTGAGTTTGGAACGTTTTCAAAACGAAACGTTACTCCAAGATGCAAAAGTTGTAAAAAACCAAATTTTCAATCACGTATGACCTACATCATTGTTCTGCCTACACGGCTCTTTGTAGCAGTTGCAATACTTCGGTATTTTTCCTTCGTAAAACTTGTTGTTCGATTTTTATAGTTTATAGAATAAAATTGCTGGAGACGTTAGTAAAATATAAGTAATTTTGTATTACTGTTAGTGTATTTGAAATATTATCCGTCCACGGAATTCTAGAACTCGTGCGAAACACTTTTTTAAATTGATGAAAAGTAGGTCAAACGTATACTGTAGAAATGGAATTCGAAGATTCGCAGTCCGTTAGCAAAACCATCGTTGAAAGCGTGGCTAATATTTTAATTTCTGAAGTTTGTTCATTCAAACACCGAAACGTTTCGCTTCGATCTCGAGCATATCAGTTTCGTTGAAGTAACGGACATTTCAGTAGATAACGAAGTGCGAAGTCGCAGAGTGCACTTTCTTCCGGTAAAGATTTAACCGTACAGTGCACTTTCATACTAATTACTAAGGACAATACATATGCACGTACGTGCACCCAAGGTATGAATGTAGTAAATGGGTGAATCAGCCGACAATCAACCGACCGACCGACCGACCGACTGACCGCACACACATTGGTGACCTATAGGTGAGTACCAGCTGGATACGCGGCTTTGTGTGGAACAATGGATGGAATCTTATTAGCGGAAATCATTGTTCGGTTTCTCCTTCATGAATACGATGCTGAGCACAACTTTTTTCCTATGCGAATGTCTCGCAGTAACACTGAATTAAGCTCAGTTACTATTATCTTTGCGTAATCACAAATTACAGTTACCAAAATAAACGATCGAGAAGAAAATATACATGATACAATAGCGGTGGCGTTCGATGTGCTACAAGGCAATTAAAACCGATTGAATGTTGATTACGTAGAATGCAAAAATTGAAAATAATAATATAAATAATATAAATATATTACTTTCTTATTTGTATTAAGAACCAATTTAATCGCGTAATACATGAAATCGAAAAGGCACTAAAAAATATACTTTCGATCCATTTGCAAATGATATACGGATAGTTATTACTTGGACTTGAAACTATGTTACAACGCGTTGTATTTGTCCTCGGCCCGATTCTGTGGTAGTTTGAATGAATAAAGAATTGATCTTCAATAATTTAATGTAAAGTTGATGTATATTGCTGTGTGACGTCAACTTAAAAAACAGACACATTTCCATACATGAATACACTATTGATACATTAATATATTACATGATTACTGCTTACTACGAGATCACAAACAATAGTTTTGTGCACGCCGCTGTCGAAATGACTGTCGTTAATAAGCGATCGATACTATCGCCTCGAATTAATATATATTATTTACAATTGCATTTATACACAAAATACCTACATTTCTTTCCTGTGTATTTACATCGAGTTTGCGATACAAATAAAATACACCGTATACCGGCAATTTGATCGTTCAATTATGGCCGCGGCACCGGATAGATCTCGCGGCTACCATCATCATCATCATCATCATCATCGTGCTTCAACTCGCGACTGGAATAACGCATCACCTTTTACGACATAGTTTATCAAATAAATCGAGAATCGTAAAATGCAGAGTTCCCGAACAGCGTTTAAGCCGTCATTTCTTGTATTACACGGCACAACTTCGCCGCTATAATTGACACATTGCGAAATACTATTTCGCACAACAGCTTTTTATTCATTTGTTTGTTTGCTTTTTTTCATTTTTTTTTGCACTTTTTTTCATTGATTTTTATTACTCCTTTGTTTTCTCGTTCGAAATCAAATCAAAGCGACACACGGTTACGACGTCGTGTCGAACACCGAACATAGCGAGTGTTGTGAGCATGTAATGTTAACTCTTTGCGGTACATAATTAATGATTATATGCAAGACAAGTCTTGCGCTTAGTTATAATCGATTAAATTTATAACTGCGTTTTATATAGAGCGCAACATCAAATGATGATCCGTATGATACGTCGAACAATTAACTTTCATATTGAACATTGTGAGGTCGTCTCTAAAATATAAACTGCGTTTGTAGAAAAACTTAACGATGATGCATTCTCAACTCTTCCGCCCCGCGCTGTATTTTTTTCCCTTCATTTTTTATTTATTTTTTTTCTTTCTAAATATTGTCTTCGATGTATTACGCTATCTTATCACGGTAAAGTTTTATAGAGTATATACTTTTAGAAACCATTAGGATCCGAAAATCCGGTTTGATTTTCATTAAACTTTGTAGATACTATTCAACATTTGTCTAACAATGGATCACCAGGGAATATATCTGTAAGTTTTCCGGTTATCCATATGATTCGTTCGATCATTGATTTTCTTTTTCTACTCGACCGTCGCATGCGTGCCCGTTTATACCTTTTTGTCACCAAGGTGCTCTTCGCTTTTTATAAATTAAATCGAAACGTGCGATGTCACTCGCTGCTCCCGCACATTCCTTCCCCATACTAGTGACACCGTTCTGGCAATCCGTTTTTATAAAACGTAAAATGATCACAGTGGACCAGCACCGAAAGAAATATAATATAAATACAAGAAAAGAAAAGTCAATAAAAAAATATCGTGTGAAATGAAAAATAAAAAGAATAAAAGAAAAACGTCGAAGGTAATGAAAATACATGTTAAAAAACTATACGCGTCTCTCGTATGGCTTACTTAAAGCTTTAGTGAAAATAATACGGTTACAATGATTTAATCGATCCGTCGCGAATCAAACTTCCCACTTGTTTTCAGAAAGCATCCTGAAACATCGTCGGAAGATCTAACTCACGGACGTTGCTAAGTTAATTTTGGTATTACTAATTAGATTTTGGAAGCTTTTAATCGTGAAATAATCCTCTATCAGAAAATATTCTGTCATCGAAAATTCGTAGCACAATCGCGGTTTACTTTGAAAAACAGCGTTCAGTGAATCCTAGATCATTCGTCGATGCAAAACATAGATATATGTTTTGCATCGGCGACTGATCTAGGATATATGTGTATATCATATACTGGTGTCCATAGCATTGTCTAGTTATTAACAATAGTGCGTAGGTGAACTTAATGTGATGTTATGCAAGAGCGGACGCCGGCAGGGAACTATGCTTAGGTTTCGTTTTATTTACAAAAACCTTTATGCAGCCATTGAAGTCAGCGCTCACGAGAACATGGCCACCACAGCCTTTGGTGCGCTGTTCAACCACTGGATCAACTGGAGGAACGTCTACGGTTGAACTAGCTAGATGTTTCGCGTCTTCCTTGGTTTTCCACTGCTCCCTCTCTTCAATTTGTTTAATAATACTATCTGGATTTGGTGCAAATACTGCGCATGTCACTACAGCGTTGTGAGCTTTGATGCCTTCCCAGAAGTCATTTCGGTCTCTACGTACGCTAGAGAATTTCGAATAATCGTGATGGGTTTTCCAGATATAAATGCACTGATTCTCCGAACCGCTAACTATGTATTGCCCGTCGGGGCTAAAACTCGCTTTAATCTGACTACTGACGTTAACATAACCCTTATATTTGCATGACAAATTCAAATCCCTCAAGTCGTACAATCGTATACGACTATCGTTCGAGGTGACCAGGATCTTATCTTCGCCGGGCATGGGCTCGATACCGCTGATCTTTCTTCCCGTCGAGTTTTTACCTCTGGTCGATCGGACATGAATCTGCGTGTGATACTTCAGCTGGTCCGTATTGTAAAATATACATCGGCCGTCGTACGAGCCTACCACCGCGAATTTTCCATTCTGACAGAAGTTGGCAGCGGTGATTAATTTGGTTTGACCATCGACTTCGCTCCACACGGCGACTTTCTTATCCGGGATGTTCCATAATCGTAGTTTACCGTCCAAGGATCCTGACAGGAAGTATCGATCGTCACGAGGATGAAATACTATCGCTGTAACGAAATCAATATGCTGGAAACAACATAGACACTCCTTCGTCGATATATGCCACAGCCGCACGGTTTTGTCCATCGACGAAGACAGAATGAAGTAATTTTTAGACCAGGAGACGTCGAGCAAATCCGAGGTATGGCCAGTGTAAGTGCAAAACGGCTTCGGCATGAACGGACTTTTCGTCCCCTCGATTTCACTGAAGGCACTAGCCACAACATTGGGATCTTCCATTGATTGTTGCGAGACCAGAGATTCCTGTGAAGGCGTAGGACTAACTTTCTCCGCGTTATATTTAGTTCGCATGTCCTGAAAATATCTAAAAGCGTCGCGCAGAACCCAAATTCTCAAAACTCGATCTTGTCCTGCTGTCGCAAGCAATCGTCCACAGGCAGAGAATTTCATACACCAAACAGGGCCCACGTGTTCGCCACTCAAGTCCTGAACATGTTGCAGACAACTGAATTCGTACGGTCCTTTGTGACTGTTGGATGCTTTTAATTTGATATATTGCTGTTCGCCAGGATAAACGTCGTCTACTATGTCCATAACGTCTTCCTTGTGCCTTGCATGCGACACCTCCTGCGCGATAGACTTTGCTTTGTCCATTGTCTTTTTTACAGTAGATCCTAAAAATCGTTTGATCTTTTGAGTCCTCTTCCGAACTCTGCCGACAGAAACGTCCTCGTCTGGCGGTATACTGGACATTTTACTGTCAACACTTTCCTCGTCACTTTCTTTCTCCTTCTCGAGACTAGAATTGCTAATATATTCCGAGGTGAGTCTCATAATATGAAGCGATAAAGGATTAATACACTGTGGTAGCTTATCTTCCGCTATACTTAATGGCACTCTTTCACCAGTGTCTAAGTTTAATACGGTTACTTGTTCCAATATTTCCTGAAAGGAAACAAACACCTTATTTTATTGATAAATTACGTAACATCTTTATCTTATCTGTACATCAATGTTATACCATGTCTGTTAGGCGTTTGCCGGAATCCGTTCTCGTTCTCACGAACATATTTAACTGTTTGACCATATCTTGATCACCAGCAGATTTCCGTCTCTCCTTTGAACCGGGAGAGCTTATACCTGTAAGTTTATGGGGACCCAAAGAGTAACGACCAATACTGTTACTGGACATGGAACCCATTGGACTACTGGATTTGTCGCTTGATCTCACGCTCATTAATTCAGCTTTGACTCTTTCTAATCTTTCCAATTCTTCAACTGACGGTCCTTCTGCTTTTAATTTATCTTCGTCCTATGAATCAATAATGATATAGCATATCTGTGTCATACGTTTATGAAAGGTGTATTTCTACAAATAAATTGCAATACAAACTTGTGGTTTAACAACATACTGTCCCTTTGTCGCAGATCTAATATCAAGCGAATGTTCAAATTCCCTCGTGATCGACTCAATCGTACTTGCTGGACTCGGTAGTGGCGATGCAGGGAGCACTGATTCCGTTGTGGAAGGCTAAAATTATAGACCTTTGTTTTTGATTTCTTAAACACAGTAAGATACATTTAATAATCTTAAAAAATTAATTTTAGACACTAAACTAATTGTACTGATTAAAAAGTATCGTACAGCAAGGTCAGTAGGTGTCTGAGCTTTTGACTTTTTTTTACGTCTGGGTGGAGCAACAGGTATTCTGACCACAGTTACATCTTCGCTTGATTTTCCGTTATTCTTTGTACTAGCGATGACATCGGGTTCTTGAAGCATAACAGTCTTATCATTTTGTGAGTGAGAAGAATAATTTGACCTACTGTTAACAGAGGATTCCTGAAGGATATCCCCTGATAACGTAAGGATGCTGGAGGACTGGGACACCTTACCAGATACTGTGTCCTCGTCTTTGCTTGGAATACTAGCAATGGAGGACATCTGGCTTTCTCGGGTAAGGATGGCAGAAGGAGGACACTGGGGTACGTTTGTTACGAGTACAGCAGAAGCACTGTCCCCAACTCCAGCTAAAATTCGACCCACTCGTCCTAAAGAGGTCATGCTTTGTAGGCTAAGAGTGTCATGTTCAATGATTCTAAATGGATGTGTCGTTTTCGAAGGAGCAGGATAAACGCCCTCGATGGATGATGTTTGACTATCTGGAGGGGAACTATTAATTGGGATATCATCATCTTCTGTTTGCATGCGTTGTCGAAGTTCACGGAATCTTCTACGACCAACAATTTTATCTGCACTCGTTTCTTTCCCATCTTCTTCCTAGATGTGAATGCATAAATTTAGTAAAATTACTAAATATAAATACCAATAATATCAACAATGTTATAACTAAAACAGATACTTACTGATTTGTCTTTACAAGATACATATTCTATAGATAAATCATCCTTTGGTTCTACAATTGATTTTGGTTCAGCAGGTTTCACAAAAACATCATCATCATCATCTGCTTTTTTAGAAATATCTGAACTATCCAATTTTAATATATGTACTGCCGAAGCAAGTACATCTGAACTATCCTTGGATCGAATTTCAATACTAAAGGAATCGCGCTGTTTACTTCTCCTATGAAAATCAAACACTTTGTTGTTAGAACATATTATAATTGTTGCAATATAGATTAAAATTTTTATTCCTATATAAAACATTCAAATTTATCAATTTGTAAATTATGTTGTTATAATTAAAAAATATAGAAGAACATTTAATATTTTTATTACAATATCATGTTTAAAACTAGAAATACATCAAAAATATATGTTGAGTAAAAGTAACATAGTCAATGTCAAATAAAAAGTTATTTACTAACACTTCGAAGATATAGCATCGACATTTAAAGCTTCATGAAAGTTACAAATGCCGGCCCTAAGGTAACTGCATAAAATCATAAAAAGCAATTGCATGAAAGTACACAATTGCAGACCTAACCAAGAATAATTGGACAGGAACATGATACAACAAGAAAAGATAGACACGAAGAAATGATCTAGAATGTAGACCAAATTTTGCGGGGCCGGAAGGAAATCGAATGAAACATGACATCGACCTAATGAAAAACGCGGAAAAAATCTTTGTAGTAGCTATTATTCCATAAGCGAATCAGTTCAAATTGTTACGAAAGCTACATAGTAACAATTTACAATACACGCATGTTGTAAGACAAATATTACTTAAGATCTCGAAACGAATCACATGACAAGCGAGGATTAGTGAAATTACCGTGAATTACGTTGGAAACTATCATCCTCCGCGTCAAAAAATTCTTCGGAATCGCTGCTTCCAGACATTGTCGTCTGCACTGAATGATCGGTAATAATAATATTGTCCACATCGATACTGTCAAGACGCGTCACGCGTTTCGCAAAATCGCGAACACTAGGGCTAGATAAAAGCGGCTACAGGATTGCGATCGGCACGAAGTCATGATTTGACTTCTAATAGCGGTTACACAAATGCACTGCCCCGTGCCGAGTATAGGCTGGTGCGTATTTCAATTATCCTAGTTCTTTCGAACGTAAATTAACGATGCAAAAGTGGTAACACTGCACGAGTCCATCCAATAAAGAGGTCGCGTCATGGAAAAGAGTTGCGCGATTGGTGAACAACGAATTTGCAGCCTCGAACTCGTGCAGCTGCCCGCTCGCCAGCATGCCTGCTGCAAAGGAGGCGAGCCGTCACACAAAAGCAAGATGGAGGATCTCACAGTCGAAGTATGCGGCGAAAACGGAGCATATTATAAGGTTCGTTCTGTGAAAAGTATAGAAAAAATGGGGCGGAAGATTGAGGCCGTGGATAGACCAACTCACGGTCCATGGCGCGGTTATAATCTCACAAAAGGGACGCCCGTACTTCGCGAAAGCGCGGTCCTCAAATGTTCGCGAGGTAACGCGGCTTCCTCCGACGCCATGTCTCGTTTGACAGGGCGTGATTTTCATCAGCTTTCAATGTTACGATCCACCTTGACGCTTTCCCGATTCACGGAAACGCATTCCCCTTATGTCGAAATTATAGAAACGCTACTCTCGTGGGTACCCCGAATGCAATGCAATATTATGTCCGATTGTCTTATGCCACTCGCTACACATCTAATTTCTGGATGAGTATATCTTTACATGCATCGTGTTTCATTTTTTTTAGGGCTTTGTCACCGATGTATTTGAAGATGAGGTTCTGGTACAGTTTGAAAATGAGTAAGTCCCTTCCATGCCCCTCCAACAACAATTTCAATATCAGTACATCTAGATGGTTGACTATGATTACAAACTATATTAATGCAAACAGTACAGTTTTTTGGGTACAGGAATTCTATTATGTTTATCAATTATGCTTCTAATAGCTGCACGCATGGTAGCGAAGGATTTATGATTTGAATAGATGTCAAATGTTTTTTATACCTACAAATTATGATATTCTGATATTTTTTTATATATTCTACTTTATTTTTTAGTATATACAAAAAACAGTTCTCATAACATTTGCAAAGTGTTATGGAAAATCATTGAAATTTGTAATAATACTACTTACGATTTTTATTTTCATAATTTGTTTGGTATGGAAGTATAACACGTTCGTGTTAATTTCTAACGATCACTAAACAATAAAATTCAGTGCTTGAAGTTGAATATATTAATATTTGTAAAATATTATTATATAACTATAATACACAGTGTATGAAAGCATTGTTTAAATCCATTAAATACATCAATATTCATAATAATCTCTTTGTCCCAGAAAATTATGACATTATATAATTGTATGGGTTAGTTTAAATGCATTTTAATTTGTTATCCATGTGAAAAGTATTGTAACATCGTGTGAAATATTTACGTGCATCTGTTTTGCACCATATAATAACATATTATTTTCCATTTCTAGTTGGCAACCAGAATCTAAATTTCCATTTGCTCAAGTACGTCTACCTCCAAAAGGTGGTCCTAAAGCTGAATTTGTTGAGAACCAGGAGATTGAAGTATTTTCTAGGTCCAATGATCACGAACATTGTGGATGGTGGAAAGCAATCATTAAGGTTAGTAGCAATACATTATAATCTTTGAATATTACTTTTTAAAAAAATTATCTACCTAATATATATTAATATTCACATTTATTATTCTTCTATATATGTGTCAAATCTAGGTACATACATTAAATTTTTTACATGTTAACCCTTTCTGGTCATGAATTGGTCAGTAATGTACTTTTCATTCATCCAGTGATTTTTATATGCTTTCTATGTAACATTATGATTTATGTAAACTATATATAAATGTCATCAATGTGTACCACATAATTCGATGGTTATTCTAATATTAATGCAGTAAGAGTGATCAAATTTAATTTTATAATGAAAGTGATGAATATCTCTACAACGGGAAACAATCTTTGCTGAGAAAATCCTAGCTTAAGACTGAAAAGGGTTAAAATGCAGCACAAATGTTTATTACAATTACACACTGAAAAATGTCTAAAAAAAATCTTTTTATATATGAAAAATTGATATTTCAGATGAGCAAAGGAGGTTTTCAAGTAATTGAATATACAGGATGGGAATGTGCTTATACTGAAATTGTAGCTAGTGAGCGACTGAGGGCTAAAAATCCTAATCCCCCTATTGATAAAAATACATTTCACAAGATCGAAATCGAAGTACCTGAAGATCTAAGAGAATTGTATGTAACGTCTTCTATTTCACTTAATGATTATTAAAATCATTAGGTGGACATAACTAATATTTTAAAAATTTATTTTACTGTGTACAGTGCCAAAATGGAAAATGTACATAAGGAATTTCAAAAAGCGATAGGTGCGGCAGTGTGCCGATATGTGCCTGAACGAGGAGTATTGCTGGCCATCTCCCGTTATGAAACTTTACATCGTCATAGTAGTGTACTACAGGAAATGCATTTTAGAAGCTTATCGCAAAAGGTATGTGAAAAAATTAATTTTAGCACCAATTGATAATTGTCAGTTAATTCAACAATAATTTAAGAATATAATGTTATCAGAACTGCTTTTTATTCTTCTTAACAGAAGTAGAAACAAGATTATTCGTGTATGTCTATGTCTTTCAAGAAATAATAATAACAGCTTTATTGGTTTCCTTATGGATTACAAATGTTTTTCAAGTACATGAAGGTATACTTATGTGTTACAGGTATTACTTTTAAAAAGAACAGAGGAAGCGGCACGTCAACTTGAATCGACTAAACTACAAACAATTGGGGGGTAAGTAAAGAACAATTTGTCTTGGTGTTGCAATTAACATAAAATCTTGTGACATTTAATACCTGCCCCTATCCATACACTGTCCTGGTTACCATCCTGTCTGTGGTTTGCATTTACTGACAGGAAAGATTCACAATATTTCCAATCATTAATTAATATGTTTGCTTCAACATTATATAATTTTTATGAATGTTATTATGTAATCACACTGAAAAAGTTCCTATACGTTTCATTTTCGTTTCCACATGTTACATTTGTGATTGTATATAAAATCTTCTGAGAAATTTGTCAATACATCTTTTTCAAGATCCATACATAACTTTATGTGTCAATCGCCATTTTATTTCTCATACTTCTGCCAATCACGAGAGCACAACGTGCATATTGTAATAAGTCAGCACACGATGTACTTTTTCATCTGTCTTTTAGCAAATGTCACTTTCTGTTGACATACTGTTTGAGTTGTTTTGAAATACTGTTGTACATGTAGGGTAATGCTATGTTTTTCATGATTTGCTGATTACAACTATCAGCTATATAGAATAGGATTAGATCAATATTATTTAATGCATTTCGTAATACACTCTCATATTAAATGTATTAAATATATTTATTGCTACTTGTTGCTTTCCCGTTTTAAGTCACCTTAACAAGGGAACAAAAAGATATATGTGTACACACATCCTATTAATAAATAAATATTAATTACTATTCTACAATAGACATTGTATAACTGAGTATAATTAACATAATTGTTTATAATTGAAAATTTCACAGATAGTTC